CTCGATGGAAACACCAGTTTAGTGTGCAATTTTTTGTTCCAAAATATGTGTTTTATGCTCTTGGGTGTGTTGTTTCTTGTGGTTTTTTACCATGTATATGAGAAGTATCAAGAGTTCTTCCGATAATTTCTCTTTTACATTATTTTTAAAGTTTATGCGTTTTTTGATAAATTCTATTCATTAGCTTTTCTATCTACTAAAACTAAAATTTTATCAGGTTTGTTCTTCAATTTTTCTATGTATATGATTTTGTGTTCCATATCCATTACTACTTGCTTTTCTCCTATTATCGATAAGGGGTTATTCATGTCTTTAATTTTAGTAACGCCTGTTTCACCGGTGTAATATCCATCAGATGTAAATATATTAGTGCTTTGTATCTGTATTATTTGAATAGACTATCTGATATTTTCTTCTCTTCATCTTTTTCTCTCTAAAAAATGCTTCAGGTGTGTGTAATTTGTTGTTAGTTTTGGGTTTTGATAGCCTTTTGAATGGAGTTCTGAAATTCTAATTGAAACTTGAAAGTGAAGATGATTTTTGATTTCCATATGTGATGTTTCCTCAATTTCATTTGACATAAAGAAATATAAGTTTTTTTTATATAATGTTGTACCTTTAATTTCAGTTTTACGATGTATCCATTGATAAATCCTTTCAAGGTTTTATGGGTTGTTTTTATTAGTTTTATTAGTGTATTCTTGGAATTTGATATTAATTTTGGTGAAATTGGAAACTTTTTAGTTATCAAATTCTACTACTAAATGTGTGGTTGGTATTTTCAGATGGAAAGAAGTAAAATTGCAGTGGAAGTTGAAGGTGTGGGTGGAAAGAAGAAAGGTATAATATGTATGTTAGTATCTTCTTTTATTTAGGTGTTATACGGACGAAGGTGAAGACATTATACAACAAACACAAAGTTTCTTGGATTACCAATGAATGTCATATTCTTCTCCTTTACATATAGATATGCATCGATGTGAATATCTGATAAAAAGCAGTGGGTTCTCCAAGTAAAGTTATGTTCTTTCGTATATATATGCATCAATCGAAATATCTAATAAAAATATATGGGTACCAACTCATTCTTATTGTTTTTTTCCATGTAAAGTTCATTTCTTCTGGGTTTCTCCTCATTTACGAATTTGAATTTTTTTATGAAATAGTGAATTTGGGTGGGATCTTAATGTTCAGCCCAAACATAAGAAATGATAAAAATTTGAGCATAATATTCAATTACGAACATCTATAGATTTCTGCATTAAATAAATTCAAGTCAAACTAGGAAAGTTGTTAAGTTACCTTTAATTCCACGATAATTTTGGAGGGGATCTATGGGTTAAAATTAGAGAAAATAACATAATTATGTAAAAGATTTCAATTTCGATCTTTGTTTACAACTTAAGAAAACACAAGAATTGATTGAATATTTAATTATTGCTATAAGAGATCTAGAGCAAATGTTAGAGAAAATGGTTTCTATAACTTATATTGATTTGTAAATTGCTTCATGGCTAAGTAGGCTTATAACTAAAGTACATTCTACATTTATTATTTTAATCTTAGGTTTTGATAAGTAGTTAAAACTACAAATTTGACATATCAATGACAAGTTAATTGATATTTATCTCTTTTAAAATAATAATGAGAGGTTACGGAATTTGTAATGCAAAAAAGGAAGGCATCAGGTATGTATGTGCATAATGAAAGTAGTTGGTTGATCTGCAAGGAAATATTAAACCGATTGAAATGCAAGTTTGGGATATAACGAGACATGATGTTCATTCTTTTGATGGTATTAAGATTTGTCATTGATTTTTTTCTTTTGGATTATTACATGTTTCTAAAATTAGACAAATTGTTAAACGAAATTAATCTTCGTTCGCCACATTACCAATGTCGGTTGTGTTTTTCTTGATGATAAAAATAAAAATCTTGCTGGATTGTAAATGCACTCTTTGAAAATCAAAACTCAAAACCAAATTAACAAAATTTTATGTTTATTTTATTTTAAACCTGAAATAACCACATAATATTATTTTAACTCAAAACAATAATATACTTATGTTGCAATTTTTTTATATCATTATTACATAATATTTACATAATTTTAAAATTTTTGCTTTTATAGGGATGCAAAATTCATGCATTTTATATCAGAATAGTTTTCAAAATTCCAATACTATCTTAAAGAAGATTGTTCTATCTACATCAAGAAACCAATCCTTTTGTGTTGTTAGAGATTGTTATAACTTTTCCAAATCTTTACACAAAATTGATTTTTTTACTTTAATTCGATGTCATTTGCAATTGATTTGCATGATTGATTGTCTTTTTGTACTATTTATTCTTAATACATTTATGTTATATTTAATTTTTCATATATCAATATCATTTACACACAATTGATTGTTTTTTACACTCTATTCAAAATTCACCTTCTTTCTATAAAATCATAAATTTATTAAATATCTATATATATATATATATATATATATATATATATATATATATATATATATATATATATATATATATATATATATATTACTTTTAAATAATCCATATAAGTGTGTAAAATTTTTTATATCTTATTAGTTTAATAAATTTTTATAAATATATGATATTTCCTAACTATTTTTAATTGTCAATATTATTTTTTATTTTTTACCCGTGGTTTTCACGGGTTGTAACCTAGTATATATATAAAAGTGGTTTTTAAACACTAAAATCAAATGACATAGAAAATGAATCGAGATCCCTTGTAAATTAATGAAAAATGCTTTAATTTTGAGAAGAGGAAACACTTGCGGCCATGAAAAGTATTACAGAAGAACTAGAAAATAAGGGTCAACATGTTATGTTTCACGATTTTGTTTTTTAACAACAATTAAGTTTGAATTTTGACTAATATTTTTTTCTACATTTTTTTTGGTGTTAGATTATTGATGTGTACCACGACAAGTATGAGAATGCAACATCGTTTTGGAAGAATGTTCATTGGTGTATTGTTATTGGTTCGATTCAATAAGGGGAAACATAAAGAGTGAAGAACAAAGCAAAATGGAGTCGTGATTTTCTTTCCTTTCCCTTGTTAATTTGATCCTAGATTACAACCTTATGGACATATGTTCATTTATGAACATTTGGTAGTATGCTCATATTAATTTGCTTGCTTATAAATATTTTCCATTTATGAACAATTGTTAAAATACTCGTGCAAATCTAGTCGTTAATGTTCAATTTGAGAGAATAATTAATTTGTTCGTTCAATTTGAGGGTTTTTGTAAAAGTATTAACTTATGAACATAATCAATTTATAAACATTCTAGAAATATCTTCATTTATGAACATACTAGGTGTAAGACCCGTGTATTACACGGGTTTATTAAAAAAATTAATATAAAAAAAAAGTATAAAATAACTTGGTAATAAACCCGAAATTTGATATTAATTTTAAACATCAAGTTATTATACTTTTACATATAAGCAAAGACTTTATTGAATAAGAATGTAATTGAACCCAAATTACTAAAACTTAGTAATTATATGAAGTAAAAGTTAAACTAATAACATTGTTTCATAACAAAAGGACAAAAATGCCCTTTTCCCATATTTCTCCTATTCAAAATTATAGTTGGCTGTCATTATGGTTTAGAAATGTTTTATAACATATAAGTATAAGTATGATATCGATACAATCTTAACAACCTACTTTTATTTCTTTTAATACGTATGTTAAAACATACGTATGTTAAAACATATAAGTTTAATTCTATAAGTGACATAATTCTAAAAAACAAAAATTAATAAACAACAAATTTATGAAAGACAAATAACTTTCTTTTCCAATTTACCGATTTGGTCTTGTGTAAAAAATGAAAATGATCAGGGCATGAAAATTTTGTATGAATTGTAGAAACTATAGAAATAGCATCCTATTTTTCATTTTTTTTTCTAAAATAGCGTTGTACTTAACAACGTAGCAATGCACTTTACCCTTAATAAAAGGACCAAAATTCCCTTTTCCTAGATTTCTCTTGTTAAAAATTATAGTCGGCTGCCATTATGGGTTAAAAATGATTTAAAAACATATAAGTATTAAATTGATACAATTTTAGCAACCAACTTTTATTTGTTTTAATACTATTTTGAAAACATATAAGTAAGATGCTATAAGTGACATAAATTTGAAAAAATAAAAATAAATAAACAACAAAATTAGAATAAGTGAAAAAATAAATCACAACTCATGTAAAAAACTACTATTAATTTTAGCAATTCCGATAAAAAAAATTATCTATCTAAATTCTATGCACCCGATAAGCCTCTAAAATGAATGTCCTTTTATTCTTGATAATATAAAACTGAAATAAATGCTATGGGGAAGCAACTTTTTTAAATTTGTGCTCCAAAATGATGTTCAAAATCTTTCCGGGGATGTAAACCCTTTTCTTGACGATTTTGCTCTCGAGATATTTTGATAGTTTATGGTCAAGAGAAACCATTTTGAAGGTTTCATCTTCTTTAACAATACCATTCATCAAAATTACCAAGAAGTTATTACTATGCACTTGTAATAAAAAAATCCCGTTTAATTTGTGAGAAACATAAGTTATTTGGAAGACACCTTGACTATCACGAACATTGTCCATGAGAAAAATTGTGTAAGAATCCTTTGTACAATGCTACAACTTCATGGTGTAATCCATCTTCTCCACTTCCCTTTCTTCTAAGGGAAGCCATTAGTCGATACTATAACAACAATGGTAAGGATTGAACATTTTACAAGAAAAAAGTTTGGCAAAATACAACAAAGGAGGGGGGGGGGGGGGGGGGGGGACATAATAACTGAACAACCGGGAAACCGATGGTGAACTGGTTGGGCCGATTTCTTTTTATGGTTTGTGGTGTTTAAACCAACCCTCTTGCTAAATTGAGTTTACACAAAGCTACAAACAAAGATTCGCTTTTATTATATATTTTCAATAAGTTTAAGTTTAAGGGTGTGATATATCTTTTCCAAAAGTTGTATAATTCCTTGTGTTTGATCTTTCTGCATCATAATCGACTCCCCCACCAATATCTGCATAAGTTAAACATGAAATAAATTTCAAAATGATTATAATAGATGCTTGGTGTGTGTATGTTGATATTATTTTCACATTGTAAAAAACCCAAAGATCTCGTTTCTATTTTTGGATACTACCAATTACATTAATTTATTATTCTGAGAATATATTTATATATTTTTAAAATACTTGATTTATCTATTAAAGAGCCACTTACTGTTTTACACCAGCTTCTTGTACATTGGCGATATTAGCAGGTGTGAACAATCCTAGGTGTGAGACCCGTGTAATACACGGGTTTTTTTTAAAAAAAATTAATATATTTTGTTAAACATTACATGTTTTGTAGTATTAATTTAACATAAAGACAAAAAATGTATAAACAATAAATTAACTATTTAGAAGTATAAATAAATAAAAAAACGTACGTATTTATAAAATGATGATGACAATAATGTTATAAACATTTAACATTGATTAAATAAAAATTGCTAAATATAAAAAACAAAATGATGAATAAGTAGGTAAGATAATAAAAACAAACATCGAAATAATGAGACTTATTTTTATGAATTACAAATTTCCAAAGACTTCTTTGAATACAACATTAGATGTCTTATTGGTAAGTTTACCATCTTTATCTAAAATTAATATTTTTAATCCATCTTTACTCTTCACTCTCGACAATGCAACATACAACTGATCATGAGTAAATACTGGTTGTCTAAAAAACAACCCCACCTTCGATAGTGATTGTCCTTGACTTTTATTTATTGTCATCGCAAAACATACAGCCAATGGGAATTGTCGTCTTTGAAATATGAAAGGAATCCTTTTATCCGAAGGCGTCAAAGACATTCTTGGAATAAACGTACGGTTTCCGATATTACTTCCAGATATTATCTCAGCTTCTATAACACGTTTGCCCAATGCAATAACCCGTAGCCTTGTTCCATTGCACAATCCAGATTTTTGATCAATATTTCTTAGTAACATAACTGGAACACCGACTTTTAATACCAACTTATGAATTGGCATACCTGAAGGTCTAAGACCATTTAGAACATCAGGGGAGTATAAAGTTTCATCGATGTTATCATGAACAAAATCTGCATGTGAAAGACTATCTGAACTTAAATACTCCTGTTGTGCTCCTGGAAATAATTTTAACAAACGCTCGTTAATCTCTTGAACGACTTCATTTTTCGGTGCAAGGATTGCTCTTTCTTGAAAATAAATCGGATTCTTGGCATTTTCAACGATAGAAGGATAGACAAATTCAATTAATGAACCAATAGGATCAGTAGAATCAACAATGAGAAGATCATCAGGAATATCAATAGTTGTCTCTCCATCATTTAAACCACCAACCTTTCCTTCTCCTATATCCAAAATCCATTTTGCAAAAGTTGTCGTTTCTTGAATATTGGATGCGAGAACACTTAACCTCATGTTTTTTGTCAATGTTAACACTTTGCAATTTGACCAAATGTAAGAGGAACATAATGAAGCATTAACAATCTCTTGCCTGCTTCCGTTAGGAATAACAGGTAGAATTTGTCTAAAATCTCCTCCAAAAACAATTGTTTTTCCTCCAAACGGCAACTTTGAGTTGGTACGAAGATCACAAGTGAATACATCTTTCATAGAACGATCCAAGGCTTCAAATGCATGCTTATGAATCATAGGTGCCTCGTCCCATATAATCAATGATGTTTTTTTTAACAATTCAGCTACATCACTGTCTTTCCCAAAAGAACAAAAAGAATCCTCTGTAAGATTTAGAGGAATTATAAAGCGTGAGTGTGCTGTTCTACCTCCTGTTAGTAACAACGAAGCAATACCACTTGAAGCAACATTTAGGACGATATCACCTTTAGATCTTAAAGATGCAGATAAAGTCTTCCAAAGGAAAGTTTTACCAGTACCTCCATAGCCATAAACAAAAAACACTCCTCCTTTTTTCTGTTTAACAGCTGTCATGATTTCATCAAAAATTGAGCGTTGTTCAATTGTTAATGACTCAAGTAGCTGATGAGATTCTTTTTGTAGAATCGTTATATCAAAATCTAACTCCTCAGTAATTAAACGATTGTTTGTAGAAGATACCAAATCATGATCAGGGTAAGGCATCCCAACAAAATCTCTTAGGCTTGAACTATTTTGGAGTAGAATTTTTTCAATCTCATATAGCGTCAAGTTTTTAATCTGATCATCATTAAGTGATAAACCTGTACAATAGTAAAGTTAATTTAAAAATAATTGTATAATTATTCATATGAAAAATATATAAATAACGTGTGTAATGTAAATAATGGAAAAAATAATAATACCTGGAGTCTTTAATCTTATTCGTTGATTGTAGAGAATTCCATCAGATAAGTATTGCCAAGTATTTTCCCAGACATAATATGGTCTAGACAAACTATTAGACTTTAGCATAGTTGCAAATAGAAACCGTAAATAATAACCAGATCCTGAGTGACTTGCTTCCTCGATGGCATCAATATATTCTCTATCATCTTCTAAAAGTCCAAGCGCATAACATGCATCTCTAAAAGTAGGACAGACTTGTCCATTAACCTTGCGAATATCTTCAAATGATTTCGGCCCTTTGACTTTATTTAAAAGAATTCTCAAGAAATATGCTTCACCCAAATTAGGCGAGACTGTGTGAATTCTTCCAATAGAAAACCCTTGTTTTCTTGGCTCCCAACAACGATCTTCCTGTTTCCATACAAATTTTGTAGGAAACTCAACATAAGAAAGTTTTCGTGCATCAGCATTATGTTCATTACAGCTCATCCAAGATAAGAACATCGAAGAAGAAACCGATTGTTTATTGACGACATCTTCAATATCATCGTCTGCTCCATATACAATATTTTGTTTTCCAGGAAGATGGAATGGAAGCCTTACAACAGAAGGATATCTGTAATGAACATCAAATGCAAATATACGCCATGAAGCTTCACATGCAGACAAATACCTACAATCATAGTAGTTTTGTATTTCATCAACAGAAACATCATCATTATCATCTCCGTTGTTTTGAACAACTGCAACAGTAGCCCGATCAGGACCCTTGTTAATATATTTAAACAAATATTTGATGGAAGCCGCTTGATTGCACCACTCAACATTAATGTGAGCCTGATATCTTTTCAAAAGGGCTTTATGATATGGAACGACACTTCTGTTGTCTAACCTAACACCAGACTTTTCAACAAAAGATCCATCATTACGTCTCCTATATATAGGATAACCATCAGAATCGACTGAGGTATTTTCTAAGAATGACTTTGGGAAATTTTTTGAACACTTTTTGTCAATCATGCATGGGCATTTAGGATTATCAGAACCACATGGACCATGCATCATAAACTCACTGACAAGTGCATACAATTCTGGATCATTTTCTTTGTTTGGAATTTCAGCCGAAATAACTCGATCAATATGTTCAACAGTTGGGAGTTTGTAATCAGAATGCATGAATAAACATATATGTGCATGAGGCAGACCGCGCTTTTGAAACTCCACAGTATAAACAACTGTAAATTATTAAAATAAATATAATATTATAATATAATAAAAAACATAATGATAAAAAAGTATTGTTGTATTATAAGGTACCTGCTTGGACCCGACCCAATAACGCTTTTTTCTTTAAGTCTTTAATCAAAGAATTCAACTTGATTTTGAATAATCTGGAAAGGATATCGGGCCTATCTTCGGGATTAAGTGTGGTGTCAGCAAGAAACCTTTTAATTTCAGGCCACTTTGGATTGCATGTTACGGTTATGAAAAAATCTGGGTATCCAAACCACTTACAAAGCGACATGGCATCTAAATAGTTTTGCATCATGTAGCGTGCACCACCCGTAAATGAAGAAGGCAAGATAACACGTTTTCCGATGTTGGAAATATCAGTACGACCATCACTTTGTACGTTTCGTAATGTTTCATACGATTCACATCTAAGAACTTTTTGCTGATTACGTATGTAATATAGTCTCTCAGTTTCAATCATCGTATAAGCATCAACCAAAAATTGTTGAAAAAGCCTTCGTGAATTAAGAATTAATGAAAAAACATTAACTCTGTCTTGAATTCTATAAGAAAAGAATTCTCTCATTGTACAGTTACGACGTTTGCTATTCGTTGAATCATCAAAATCTCTGTGAGGGATGTCAACTCTATATCCATCATCCCCATATGGAAATAGTAGTGGATACTGAAGAGCAAGGTACGAAGGATGTAATTCGTTTATACGTTGTAGACTTCCTGATTTAGTTTTTACGATGATATCTCTGTTATCAATTGCATCACCAATATCACCAACAATTAAAGCAGCAACTTCAGAAGCAGAAGGTAAGTTATATGTCCTTCCATCTTGTTGCCTTCTTCCTATAAGACGTAACTTTACATCTATATGAGGATTTTCATCAAAACAATCTCTGACCATTCTATAACACTTAACCAACTCATTCGTTGAATCCAACATGTCCTTCAAAAACTGTATAATTTCGATATCAAAAGAATGAGAAGTTGATGTGCACCCTTCTTTTTGTGTACTGTTAAGAATAACGGTTATATGTAAAATTTAGCAAGTTAATAATTATATGAAATATATAAAATTAATGGTTTATAAAAAACGTATAAAGAAATACCTGAACGCTTGTTGTCGATTTGAAACTTCATTTTCAGTATCATATATGTATAATTGCGAAAACTTTGGTTTCGATCCATCTATAGGTAGAAGACTTCCCATGCAATGATAATTTTGACCACTAAGTCTAAAAACATATGGAGCATTGCCTTTGTTAATTGAAGAATCAACTTTTCCACCCATTGAAGTAAAGGAAAACATCGAATTGAATCGACGGATGTTCTTCATGAAATTTTTTCCTTTTGGATCAACAACACGAAAGAGATTTTCATAATTTTTAGGCGGTTCTTTTAGTTGAGGAAGCTCGACCTTTCCATTGCCACAACAAAGGGAAAAAGAAGTTTTCTTTCCAGAAGCATTGCCTTTACGTGCTTCATCCCTCCATAACTGTGCATGACACATCGTACACACAAAAGTCTGATCACCATGGTCCAAGTAATCTGTTTAATAAAAATGTATGATAAAGTTTGAACTAAATTAATGTTTAGATGAGTAATAGTTTATAAAGAAAGGTGGATGATAAATTTAAATTAAATGTTACCTTTTGTGGCACCTGAAGTTAAAGTTAGTTTATGGATTTGTTGATCACGAAACTCTTCTTCTGACGTTAGGTCGAAAATGGGTATGTGAGTAGTATTTAGAAACTTCCTTTTTTTATTTATATTTTTGCGCAATAAATTGTTGGAATAGTCTCGAGTGATTGAAGATGAAGTCATAGGTCTCATGTCACGACACAAGACTGAACATTCTCCGTTGACTAAAAATAAAAGTATGATATTTAGTATTAAATTTATAAAGTAAATTGATAAAAATGAAAAAATAAAAATGCATACATATTATAATAATATGTATACCATATATAGTAAGAAACAATATGCTGGATAAAAGCGTAGTTATACCATTGGTAATGTTGGACAACGGAGTTCTTGTAGTAAAATTAGAAGCGTCTTCAAAACGTTCTTGATGACGACCATTATTACCTATAATTGTAATATATGTTAATATAAATATGTATTAATTATGGAATAATAAAGAAACACATATAAGAACATAATATTTATTAAAATATTTATAATAACTATAGATGGATAAAATAAAAGAAGTAAGATGATATATATGATATACCGATTGGCATGGTGGATATGTGATTGGATTTTCTTTTATCCAAATAATTTTTCCTTTCTTTTCGTTTGTCTTTGGCGTTGTGTGATAATGGAGTATCGATATAGATATTGGAAGTAGATTGAACACGTGTTTGTTGATATCCATATGAAGAAGTTGTGGTGACATTTTGATTGTTACCACCATGATATGCCAACTTGTTTGATGATGGTGTTTGAATGTTGGTAGTTATATTAGAAATGACTGTAAAAAAATAAAGAATATGTAAGTTACAGTACACATAACATTTATTTTAAGATAAGATAAATAAGAAAAATATAAAAAAATAAATGTAATCATATAATTACACCTACTATATAAGGGATTTATGAAATACCAATGTTAAAAAAATTGAAATAAATTTTGACCGTGCTAGGTATTAGGTGTGAAATTATAACAATATCTTAATGAAATATAAATTGTAATGTATAGAAGAGTATAGGTAAAAGACAATAGGATTTCAGAATTTGGGGAATGTGTATAAAATAAAATATGTTTAAAATGCAATAAAAACCGGTGTCATAGGAATAAAAAGACATACCAGACGGCGTTGTGGATAAATGATTGGATCTTTTCTTATCCAAATATAATTTTCTAAGTTTTCTGTTCTCTTTGGCAGCAACAGACAATGGATTCTTAATATTAAAAGTTGAAGTAGATTGGAAATTTGTATGTTGATATGCATATGATATATTTGGATTGACATTATCATTATCGATGCGAACATATGTAGAATTGGTTGAACGGGGTGAATGTTGTTGAGGAATACCTACAATGTATATATAATATTAAGAATGTGTTATTACATGATGTGATAGTTATGTGATATAATACATCATAAGGTATAAAATAATATTTGCACAACATAAGTCAAATATAAAACATGATTGAAAATAAAAGTAAATTGGGTTATATATAAAAAATTACCAATTGACGTGGTGGACATAAGATTGGATCTTCTATTTTCCAAATATAATTTTCTATGTCTTCGTTTATCTTTATGCTCATTTGAATTCATATCGTCTGTGTAGCTTAAGAACAAAAAGCAATTTATGTAATAAAAAATTATATTGACCATAATATTCAACAAAAAGATAGAAATAGAAAGATAGTTATACAGAGTGATAATGAGATCGAGAAAGATAGAAAAACTTTACTAATAATAATCGACAAAGCACAAATTAGGCAAGGGCAAAGACGATAGAGGGATTGATGAGCACTCCGGTGGTAGCAACGCTGTTAACCGGTGACAATTTCAGTAATTTCACGACCCTGTTGGTGACAACGGCGATATTAGGATTCAAAGTCACATGTGTCTTAATTGAATGACGTATAAAAATAAACGACTTATAAAATTTTAGTGATGTAATCGGGCTGTCAATAATGAACTTAATGCAACTATAACATAACAATGATAAAAAAATTAATATATTATAATAAATTGGTTGCAAGCAAGTACTCGTAATTATCACCCAACTTTAATTGCGAAATAAACCAACCCAACATCATATACAAACTAAATAAATAAAATATTTATATTTTATTTCCGTGTATAAATTATTTATTGAAAGTATTTTACTCCAATTGATAATAGGCTTTTTGACCGATAGATTACAATTGCTTTATTTTATAAGGAATACATTAAATGATTAAATACTAAAACAGAGAGAAAATGAGAGTGTGAGAATAACACCTGTAAATAAAAGACACGGTAGGAGGAAGCCGTCTCCGATTCAATGAAATGGAAGAACTGGTCAGGTGTAGCAGAAGTGTACTAAAGTGCAGGATGATGTTGAGCACCGAGGTGGTGCCGACAAACTAATCGGAGCGGAGATGGGTTCAGCAACAACGTCGTTGACGAAAACAAAATGTATTTTTTGTTTAATTAGGGTTTCATCTTTTTTCTTCGAGATTAGCTTCTCAAATTTTCTGATCATCGATTATTGTTAAGTTTAGGGCTTAATATTTTATGAAGTATTGCGTAAATAGAAAGTAAAATACAACATTATTTTGGGTTTATTTGTAGAGATTTAGTTTCTAAAAATCACGAATTGGTTTTGATTTTTTCAGTTAATTTTCATGAGATTGTGATGCATAGTTGTATGATTCGCTTTTTATTAATGATAAAATGATAAATGGAGGGTCCATAAAGTTAGCAAGATATGTGGGATGGTGCTAATTCGTCGGTATGGCTAAATTTATTTGGGTTAAAGGGCTTTGTTCTAGGGTTTGTGAGTAATAATGTCGATTTAGTTATGTGTATAATAATTATACTGATAAGTTATAGACAATGGTAACCAACTTTGTCGATTTAGGTATGTATTTATGCCATGTTGAATAAATTTCCACATACGATTACTGCCATGTGTATTTGGAGTACCTTGCTACAAGGGCATAAATGTCCACACAGATAAAGCAGCATCAACTGCACCCCTTCCTTGCTACAACTTTGGAGTACCTAGCTACAACTTTGGGTCCCGCAAACAGCTGGAGATTGCAGAATTTGATGAGTGATTGTTGATAATTCCAAAGGTTTTTATTAGTATTATTAAAATTTGAAAAATATATAATTAAATTTTGTATGAATGGTGATAATTTTATTTTTTGATAATGCTCAGGATCTTGCTGTGAATGCTGTAAAGGATGCGACTGATTTGGTGGCTAAGTAGCATGCATATCACCACAGTGCACAAACTAAGAAAATTCATCAATTTTATAATGTACAATATGAAAAAAATTTGTAAAGAAGAAATTCTATTATGTACAATATGAAAATAGTCTGTAAATTTAATTAATATGGTGTAATGGAATTATTATTTTGTAAAATAAAGTTGTAATTTAGTTGGGTATTGTTTTTGTAGTTTTCTTTTGTTATGTTGGAAAAAAAAGGGCCGCATAAAGCCTTGAACTAACACACACTGTACGTCTGAATTCGTAATATTAAGAATTTTGCAGTTTATATATGCAATATTATATGAGTTATTTTGTAGATTATTAGGTCAAAATTATGTGGCATAATTTTTATAATTTGATGGCAGAGAAAAAACCAAAACAAAAAGGTATTTATACACGGAAATTCAACATTCTTTCTCCCTCATTTGCATACCGTAAATTTAATAAAATACCGTTGTGAAGATTTGCCAAAGACAATAAGGACAGTTCTGTTAATAAAGCTAATAAAAGGGAAATTACGTAAAATTGTATAGGATGACACTGTGATTTATTAAAAATATTAAATTTATAGCTTACATATAATATGACATAATTAGGAAATTAGATGCTATAGTATACATATAAATTTAATAAAATGATAGATATTTAAATATGAGTTTTGATTCTGAAAGCATCAAAGTAATGTGTAGGCTGCTTAAATGAAAGTAGGTTGCTATAAACGCAATTTTTTATAATAAAAGGGTAATTAGGTAAATTTAAAATTCCATTAATGTAGTTACATTTCCCTTTCACATACAATATCATATGCAGGTTAAAATGGACATTTATGCCCTTGATTCCATTTTTCACAGATTTTATACAAATTTATTTAAAAAAAGGTCATAAATGGAAAGAATCATGAAGTCAATACCGTTGTAGATATTTTCATTGCCAAAATGAGAACACCTCAACATACAAAAGGATTCAAATAGTAGAGTTATATAATCAGGGACAAATGCAGCAAAAAGATAAAAAATATATATAAACTTTGCATTGATTCAATAATAAACTGCTTTGCAAAATAAGGTAATCATTAAACCAAAATGGATCAAACCATATATTGTTATGAACAAACACAAAGAAAACAATACTGCTGTTTAGTAGAAGCTACCACAAGGAAACATCCAAAACCCAATTCCGTTATTCAATTAAAAAAAGTAAAAGATAACACAAATGAGTATTCATAGTTTACCAAGCACAAAATTTAGAAATCCAAAATAATATGCAAGTAAAAGAAGGAAATATAAAAAAATATCTTAGAAGAAGCAATGATTAGCAAAGAACGATTGTTGTTTAGGATCATTTTTCCACCTTAGGAATCAACAATTTGGTTGTTATTCCAGCTTTGTCATTGTCAACACGGGAGCATTAGGTTTTGTTGCAGATTCATAAACATCATCATCAAGATCATAAATATCTACGAGTTTACGTTTGACACTTGTAGGTGGAGAATTGAGGTTGTTGGTGGCGGTTACTGATGATGGACTTGTACTATTACCAGATGGAATATTGACACAGGAGTATTATCATCAGTGTGGGAATTAACATCCTAAAATTAAAAAGAGAAAATAAGATAAATTATTAATGAAAATGATATATATATATATATTATATATATAATATATATATATATATATATTATATATATATATAAAACATAAAAGTGTTGATTACCTTACAACCCACTGTGTCTTGAGATGCAAATTCTGAGCCAACTGCATTAACAGAATCATTATCCATATACCTATAATATTACGGGTAAAAAAAATTGGTACATTAAGGATTCTATGAAATATTATGTAGTAAAGTAATCAAATTATGGTGTATTTTTACCTGTTCAATGATATTC